GTGAGGGAGAGAGAGAGAGAGAGAGAGAGAGAGAGAGAGAGAGAGAGAGAGAGAGCAATCATACTAATGAATAAAAATAAATGAATTTTGCAACAATTGCAAAGCTTTTTCTGAATGCAGCTAATGCAAGTTTTAAACCTAATCTATATTGCTCTTTGCTTTCTCTTACTTTTTATCTTTTACTTTTTTCCTCTTTGCGATTATTTTTTGGCCGTGCTCGGATATACACTGTCAGTATTGAAAATTCAAGTTATGTATATTATAAATGTATATTATAATTTTTAATACTGGCAGTATATATTCGAATACGACCTTTATCAACAATCGTATATCTTGTCTCTTTCGAAATTCGTCAATTTTTATCTCGAGCAACAGAAAAAGCAATGAAGAAACAAGAAATAAAAAGATAAAAGATAAAAAGTAATAAAAAACAAGAAACAGAAAGTAAAGAAATTATAAATTAGTATCCGTGATTTTCTTCAAAACGATTGGTATTCCTTCGTATTTTTTAAAGGTGCGTTACTCTCTAAAATCTTTGGAATAAAATCTATAATTCTAAGAGTGATAAAGAATGCCAACTAAGTCAATATTAAAAAAGAATGGCTTAATTTCTAAGAGTAAAATTTCCCCTTTTAAAGTTAGATTATACTTAAAAAATTTTAAGAAAGTACTTACCAGCAATGCCAAGAGAGACATCGCTGTGGCGAAAAACATGCAGATTACCATCCCGGCGAATGTTCGGTATCTTGGCCCCATTAGCTCAAGAGCTGCAATAAAATTTATCGTGCAAAAATATTTTGCATTTCACACGAGTTGATCTTAATGTTTCTATTTCTAATCGTGTTATGCAATAATGGTGACAAGAAAATGTGTTTTGATCTTTCTTTATTAAATTATTCTTAAAGTTTTTCGTTTTGTATTATTGCCAAAAATTAAATAGTCTGCGATTTATGTGTGCTGAACATACCAAGTATGAAAGGTATCTGATAAATGGCAGGAAAAAAAAGACCATTCACGGTCCTCAGCGCTGTGTAGATCACATAGTTCGGACTGAAGCTCGTGGCGATAGAGAATATCACTTCGAGAAACAGGATAGCGAAAAAGGCCGTTCTTCTACCCCATTTATCAGCGATCCAACCGAACACGACGTTGCCGAAGAGACTACCCACGTAGAAGAAAGTCGTCGACGTGGAAGGCCACCAGCTGTTGTCACATACCAGGTCTAGCTATGTGGATGTAGAACGCCATTAAACTACTTCGCCAGCGTCAAATTGTATATCGACAAAAATAATCCAATAATAATTAACAATAAAATATACTAGAAAAGCTATCAAATAAAAAATAATAAAATGTTAGCGCGCGATACGAGATGCCAACGCAAAAATTTATAGTTTTTGTTATTTCTTTAAAAGTTATCAAAATTCTTAATATAACAAAAATCGTAATTTAATTAATTACGTTACATAATAAAATATTAATAAACTATATTATATAAATTATACAATAAAATAAAATTTTTTTGTGGAAAATATATGTGTCTTGCTAATTAATAATAGTTGCTTGAGAAGAATTAAACATGTATATGTTTCAAATTAAACTAAAATAAACTATAAACTGTTTTAAATTTTTTGTTTGTGTTTGCTTATAATTGAAAGATGCAAAACATACTAAAATGTCAAAGGATGAAAAGTAAAAGCTGAAATAATATTACTATATATAGACATGATGAAAAATTATCGCAACCGACAAAGAACACAAATCTCGGTGTGGCGATTTTAAAGGATGAATAGTTCTAAAGAAATAATTAACCCGAAGAAAGATTGTACTGATCAAATTTTTTTCTATGTGGCATATGTGTTTGTGTTTATAAAGAGCACAATGTATGTAATTGCGGTCATCGCGATTCTGATGAACGTAATCTTCAAGATCTTACGAGAACTTGACATGTTTCGTAAGCTTTGCATCATGGTATAAGAATACAAGATGCTGTAATGGCAGAATGCATGAACTTTCGGTCAAATTAATGGAAATTCTTAGATTCGCTCCAAATGTGAGAATGAATTCAATGTGATAATTTTTTTTTTTAATAAATAAAATTTCAGATGTGCAAATACAGCATATTAAAAAGTAATAAAAATATTTAGCATTTGTAAAATTTCATCAAGCTAAAACTTTAAAAGTTCTCGATTAGTTTCAAGTTAAAAGATTAATTCGAGTTAAAAGAATGATTAAGTTTCGACTAAAAAGATCGACTAGAAACACATTGTCGTAAGTAAGCCTAAGAAATTGACTAATCAATTGATTGACTAATCAATAAAAAATTGACTAGTCGAATATTCTTCTCACAATCGATTGTGATTCAATCAATTTGCACTCTTGAATAAGAGTGGTAGATTTTCACTCTTTTTTGGAGTGAGGTTAAAGTGAAATTACTTTTCTTTGGAATAAATCTCACTCCAAAATCTGTCACTTTTATTTAACCCTCGGTACACACAGTTCTGGCAGTCCTACCCACATCCGGATATTTATAACCCAACGTTTTCTTTTGCTTGTATCTCAGATTGTGGTCCATCGATTTTAACAAATTTTTTTTAATCTATCATTTGAAGACTGAAAAAAAAATCTTTGAGTTAGAAAGTTTAAAATGTCGTAGCACAAAAGATATTTTGCAATAAGTGAAAAGGGAAGAAAACGTGAACTATGAAAATCGGGTGGAGTTACGCTAACCCCATTGTATTGAAGATTAAGAGTGTAAATTTTTTATTCTTTTTCAATAATAGCAATATTTTAACTCTTTTAGAGTGAGATTTCATTCCAAGAAATTTAGAGAGAAAGATTTAAATCTTAAATGATTATATAGCTTATTATTGTAGAAAGTAGTAAGTATAGTAGAAAGCTTATTATTGTATTCATTATAGAAAATGTATGTAGCAGTCCTAAACGCTTGAGCCCGGATTTGCAATAAATGTTATAAGTCTTGTTTCTCTATGAGAATCTCTATGAGAGGAAAATGGAATCTCGAAAATCATTCAGAATCATTTAAGTTTAGCACGTTATACAAACCAACCATGATTCTAATTGATCATATGACTTTTCTGAAATTCCGACTAAGGAAGCACTCTTAACTATAAAAAATGAACAAATCATAGTCCATTACTTTCCTCGCATTCGACTGTAATTGATCAATTTCTTACGACTTAAAGGCCATGACACATAAAAAAATTTAAGACGTAAGACTTAAGCATTAAACGAATCGACCAACCACACTAGAGATCGTAAGATCATAATACAAGCAATGGCGAATCCAACATGTTGATTTTTTTATTGCTTAAGTCTTATCCTGGATCTACAATAGATTTTTAAGCTGTAAAAAAATAGATGAATCATTTATTCTCCTCGTATTTCTTACGGCTTAAGGCACAACTTAAATTTATCTTTAGATGCTCAGTGACCAATGAAATAATTCATAGAGCATCTGAAGATAAATTTAAAGAAATCTTACCTCGGATCACAATAGATTTTTAAGCTTTAAGCCTTAATAAAGAATGGACGAATCACAATCAATTATTCTCCTCGCATTCAATTGTAGTTGATCAATTTCTTAAGACTTAAAACACCTATTGTAAATCCGGGCTAAAGCACCCTGTGCATTCGTTGTATGTATATTAGTAGCCGATATTAGTAGCGAATAGGAGTCAGAGTGCGTGCTCGTACACGTGTGAAATACACGCGTCACTCGGCCGATCGTCATTTGTTCGTCGGTCCAGCATCAGTACTCACGCACGCGGGAACACGCGTGACAAAGAATGGAATCGGTGGAGGGAAGTTGTGGGAGAAGGAGGGATGCCGCTGGATCACCAGTGGCACGGTAGAGAGGGCGTTTCATCTCGTTGCGTTTACGCAGGAGACTACCGACGTAAACGCGCTCGTGTTTATCACGAGTGGGGGGGGCACGTACGTGTGTGATCTTTTAGTATGGAAATCGCATAGGTTTGTAGCTCATACACGACGGAATGCACGTATGCATGCGCATATTAGTACGTGCGCGTCCGAAGGACGTTAAGGTGTATCGGTGAGCTTCCCACAGTGAGAGGTGTCCATCACCCTCGTTTGACAGGAGGAACGTAATCCCCCCTCGCGCCCTTTAAAGTTCAGTCTCTCTCTCTCTCTAACTCTTTCATTCTTCTGTTACGATCTCGCGTGGCAAATCAGATATGAACGACTCAGGCTCGGTTCCACAAATGTAAAAATACATACTGTACTAAAAAAAACATACGCTAATGATAATTACTCATTCCAAATATTTCAAAATTCATATATTCGTAAATCTATCAGTTCATTATACAGCATCAAATTTATTCAAAATATATTCTGAGGCTTAATAAGTTTAATACTTTAATCAAGATATTAAATTCGATTTGTTTATTATATAAAGTAGTTTCTTCGATCAATTTTATAAAAAAATATTCTATAAAGTAGTTTTTAAATAATAGTTTTTAAACAATGGTAAAAAATATTCTTTAAAAAAATATAAAGTCTTACTTTGAGTACATAATGTTTTTTTAAAATTTGTAATAAATATATTTTAATTATTATCAACAAAATATTCTTTAACAAAGAAAAGAATTTACTTTTTCTTAAAGAATATTTTTTACCATTATTTAAAAACTATTACTTAAAAGAAAGAAAGTAAATTAAGTAATCACTGTTCAATCGAATAATATTCTTCTGTCTGTAAGATTAACTTTAATCGCGATTTAATTTGCTCATCTCTTTTTCTAATTGAAAAAGAATAACGAATAAATTGAATCAAAATTAAAGTTAATCTTATATTGATGATCAAACCCTTAATATACCTATGTTTGACCTTTCTATCCATCTTATGTAGATGTAAATGGTGACAGTGAATGTATATTTATATAATTGGATTTAATAATATTATAATGAAAGAATTAAAATTCGAATTATAATTAGAATTATATGCGCACAAATATATTTCAAAAATTCTTTCTAAAATATAATAAAATATAATAAAATGCTTACGATTTTTAATTTTGCAAAAATGGGCCTTATCGGTATTCATATTCGACATCGCAAAATAGATAATAATTGGACAAATGAAAAAATTTTGTATTTTCTTTTAGAGCTCTTTCTCCAATAAGTATAAAAACGCGATTTCATTTACGCCAAGACTTTTGAAAAATACATCTTTCAAGACATTGACTTCTCATATTTGGAACTGTATGAGTTTAAAAATTTGCATTAATTCGAAGATGATTAATTCCATTAGTAGCAAGCAATGTCAGGGAGTGCTGTTCCGAGTTAATAAACGTGTTCGAAATCTCAATCGAGTACCTATTAGCCTCGACAAATAAAGTCTACCGGTGGGTGTTAATAGTTTTGACACGAAGTTTGATTTAAGCAAATTGCCATTCACGGACTTTCGAGGTCTGCGCGAAACGCGCAAAAGATAAATTGCGCGGAAAGACAGGAGAGTGTACCCGCTGATAATGATGTTGTCGAGTTATTGTCAAGGGCAGTGCATGCGCCCATAAGGACGTTAATAACACGTGTGTTTTGTCACCCTGACACACTTCGAAATCAATATTAATATGACCGCAATACTGTTCATTACTGCGATTGTTTGCACTGCTTGTTACACCGATTCAACATCGAAATTAATTAAATTCCACATTGCATTATGATGACAACGTTCCGTTACTTCAAAATTATTTTTTGTCATTTTTGTAAATAACAAAGTCAAATTTTATTTTTGATAATAATAATAATAAAAAAGAATAAAAAGGAAAGAGTAAAAAAAGAATAACAAAGAAAGTCTTTTAAATAAAGAATATAAAGAATATTTAGAATTAAATTAAGACAGTTTGATAATCAAAGTTTGAAGAAGAAATTAGGTAAACTGTTGGTGATATTTCGAATTATGTCACTTTTGATGAATTGCTCCGCATTTCTTTTTTTGATAATTTATTATAATTTTGTAGGATATCAAGCAGATATTTTTATTATAATTTCTAGAAAATATATTTTTTTCTGATATTATTTAATCAATCAATTATTTTTTATGTTAAATTAAAAATAATAATTCTTTTCCTTCTCTGAAAAATATAATTTTTCTAATTTTTATTTTTGAAATAAGGGAATGACAATACTAATGAAACAAGACATCAAAGGAAATTGTGAAATGTTAGGCGAGGAAGAAATCTAA